GCCGAGTGGGCCCAGTCTCTAGTACTAGTACTAGTACTACTACTACGACGACGACGACTACTACTACCGTCCAACTCGATGGCCTCAATTGTGCAACTTATGAGTGACTTTCGTTCCAAATGTAGATCTTTCGTTTGGGTAGCTTTGCAGACGAACGAAAAGCTCCGATGTGCAGCGTCGAGGAGCTAGAGCTCACAGGAGCCAAATAACAGTGTGACGCCGAAAAGCCAGGACAAAAATTCATGAGTAGACCTCGCACGGCCTGGTGTTCCCTTCGACAGCGCGTGCGAATGCTCCCCTACATCGAGTCATTTGCCGTGAACTCGGCTCCAGTAGACTAGTTGTCACAACTGTTTCGCTTGACGCTAGAAATCCGACAAGCTTGCGCTGCTCCGGGAGCTTGGCGCCGTCACCGTGGATCCCGGCAATGGCATGGAAGGAGTTGGCCTTGGTGCACACTTGGGGAAGTGACTCCAAAACTGAGACGTGTTCTTTTGAGGAAAGTGTACATTCTCGCAGAGCTACACACCACATGTCACACTTGTCACTAAGAAAGGCGGGGTAAATGCCTACTTACATCCAAAGCTTGTGGCTTGTGGGAGATCATCAGAAAAAGGGCCCAAACCGCATACAGAGCAGGCGCTGAACGCTCGCAACTTGTACATGATGCGCTGAGGCCGTGTCCAGTTGCTGCACTTCGAAATCCACATCTTTTCTCAACAGCCGAGCCTGCGCAAAAAAGGAAATCTCTCATGTACAGCCTGCTTTAGAGAGTCGGTCCTGCAGCGCGGCCAGCAGTGCTGCAAACCTTGCCGCTCTTTGCAGCAGAAACGGATGGGAGCAAATGGGAGATCTGTGACCCCGGCTCTTCGGATGCCAGTGATAGGCGGGAAATCGTCAGAAGGCAATTGGCCACATGCTGCGACGATCTGCAGCATCAGAATTCAGCTTTGCGTGCTGGGTTCCATTCATCACATCTTACTAAGTTCACGGCAATCTCGGCACTTTGCCACGCAAGGATCCTGCCAGCAGTCGCGCCAGAGGCTCCTGTCGCACAGAGTAACGAGATGCGACCGTAACGAGCAACAGTGACCTTGTGAAGTGCAAGTCGGCCGCATGCGTAGAAGAGCTGTACCTGCACCAACTGAAGGTGCACAAGTTTTACAGCTTCTGCCAAGATCGACTTCGGATGCACTGTTGCCGCTGCCTGTGTCTGTTGCTCCGAATTCGGAATAGCATCCAACAGCCTCAATGTCCACAGGCTCTGCGATGCAGACTCTGCTTTGGAATCAACATTTGAAAGCGCGCGCATGTGTGTGTGTGTGTGTCTACAGCTCGAGGTAGGCATTGCAAAGTGCTTGAAACCTGTTGCGAGACAGACAGCTTGCACATCATCAGGCAATCAGCTCGAAGTCGTGACATTTTTGGAGGGTTGCGAAGCACGCCAGGTTTTCATCAGTCCGAAGTCATCTTGGGGAGGTGAGGCTGAGCTCACTTCCCCCACGCATGTCTTTACATGCGCAATATTCGCCCAATCTGAGTCTTGAAGAAATGTCTAGCAGATCCTTGAGGTTCAAGCGTGCCAAACCAGTTGAAGGAAATGCCTTCTCGGGACCAATGGGCTTGAGAGCAGCTTGCTTTCAAAGCTGCCACCAAAAAACGTCGCAGAAACACGTCGCCAACATTATCTGCTTGGCCGGCGATCCCCGATTAAGCCTAGCTTTGAGGCAGCAGTGCACACCAGGCGGTACTTGCCACAACAAAGGAACACTGAGACTTAGAAATGCGCATGGCGTGGATGCTGTGGTGGAGTCCTTTCATTGCCCAGCCTTCGGCCTAAGCCCTAAGCTGCCTTTGTGAAACTTTGCAGGATCCCATGCCACGAACATTGTCATCAAGAATGGGTTGAGGAGCAGCAGCAGCAAGGATGCAAGTGATGTAGTCTTTCTCTACAATTACAGGATGTCTTGACTCCTTCCATTCTCAATACGTATGTAGCAGCCTTCCGCGAGGGGATGGAGGCTTCCAAAGCTACGAGCACTAGCATTCACATTCGTAGAAATGGCGGTGCCGATCTCATGTCAGCACATTACAGCACCCGCCACCTGCAGGCACTCTTGAGGCGAACTTCTGACGTGACAGTTTGCGAGCAAAGCAAACATTGCGAAGTTCCACCCTGCTCGACTCGTCCCCTTTCAACTGAGCTGACGTACTAGAGTCTCTCTCGCGCAAAAAACCCAGAAGCGAGCGAGTCGCCTGTGGCCAGCTCACTCGCTGGTGGCAAAATCTTTGTCCCATCCGGTCTTGGGGTCCTTGTATGGAATCTGTGGGGGCATGTCCTCCTTGTTGGCACTGAAGTTCTTCATGTCTTTCTTGCTCTTCACGGTTGGCACCTTGATTGCGCACGTGCGCATGTCTGCTCACTTGACTGGAACCGAATTTAAGCCTCGCACGTACGGAGGCTTCATCGACAGACTTTCCATATCGCTCCACGCAAAGCCCGTAAACCACTTCTGCGTCTTAATGTTCTGAATGCCTGACCAAACGGAGCCAAGCAATGCAAGCGGTCATCATGTCATTTCTCGAATCTGTCACACTCTGTCAGGCCTCCTTTCTTCATTGCCAGTCGCTCCGTCGGATTGCTGTTGCACAGACCCTTGACCTGTGCTCCCAGAATTCAGATGCTAGCGAAAGCCTCGTGAACGTGAGAACTTCTAGGGGAGTAGGTGTCTAGAAAGGTACATGAATAGTCTTCCAGATGCTGGTGATCGAGGGTGACGCTTGCTGCCTTTCCTTCTCTGTAAACCTATGCATTTCCCCACTGCCTCCTATGCAGGCCTGAATTAACCCAGCGATGTTCAGACCTGATGCCCTACAGACAAGTTCAATTTGATGCTGGTGATGCTGGGCACTGCTGAGATCCGGACCAACGCCTCCACATCTCCCTTGAGCTTCTTTGGGAACACGACTGCATTGATGCCCTTCTGGACCTGTCCCAGAAATGGAGTCAGTCAAATAGCGTCCTGTCCCACATCCAGCGCTACTTTGCGCGACTTTCGAGCGGCATTGACCATGGCGTCATGACGGCCACAGGCCTTCGCATAAATCTGCATGGGTGTGGCGGACTCGAATGGTGGATGTCCTGGAGCACAGCTTAGCTGGCATAGTATTTGGTGCTTGCACTCGCTGTCGCGAAACACAGGAAAAGCTGCGACTCTAAAACTCTCTCTCTGACACGGGCAAAACTTCGTCGACTCGCCTGACATCAGCTCGAAGGCGAGGATTCCCAGGGTCCACCAATCCACAGCGTGAGTGTGTCCTTTGGATGCAATGAGCTCCGGCGCAAAGTAGTCTGGTGTGCCGCAGGTCGTGTACGTCTTTCCTCAGGAAAATAACCGGAAAAACTTGAACCGGTGTCCTTGCATGTGCTTAGAAAGTTTGCCAAAGATGCCAAGGCACCGAAAATCACTTTTGCCAGACCCATGTCCGTCAGTTTCACCCTGCCCTCTTCGGTCAATAGCAGGTTTTCGGGCTTCAGATCTCGGAAGACGATCCTGATGAAGGCTACAAAGATTCTGAGAATCACCGCAACACAAGATCACAGCCGTGTGAATGCACATGCATCATGTCGAAGTGCCACAGTGCGGTCGAGCATCTTCTTGCCATGCAAATGTTCAAAGGCAAGCACGGTTCCGGCCACGTAGAACTTTGCACAGGCCTCGTTGCCCCACATGTTCCTCTTGTTGTAGGTAGCATAGAGCTCACCACCGAGTGCCAGCTCAAGGAGGAAGTACAGATGCTCCGGCGAGTTGTAAGTTTCGTGGAGTTTGACGATAAACGCGGAATCGCACATCCTTGGTCCAGATGCATCCCTAGCAATTCCCGGGTGGGCTCGGCGTGAACTTTCTAGCCAGGTGTCAGCTGCACGTTCTTCTCGCTCATGACACTCGCTTGCATGCCACTTTTGACAACCTGGTGCAGAGCGGACTTGAGCGGACCTTTCTACGATGACCTGATCATCTGTTGCATCTGCCTGCTGCACACTTTGCACGGATGGTGGCGTGATGTACTGACGCATCCAAGTGGCGTATCCCTTGCTGAGGGCCTTCAGGGCGAACATGTTGCCGGTCTTGGTCTCTTCAACCAGTTCCACCGCTCCGAAGCCACCGCAGCCCAACAAGCCGTGCCTTAGCATAAGAACCCAGCAACCGACAAACAAGGTCTCGGACTCAAGGACTGTGTCATCTGAAACGAACGGCCGAAAGCATTGACCTCTTATGGCCAGGATTAATCTTGCAAGTGGCTTCTTCAGATCCTTGAACTTGATGACCCCAAAGCGCTTGGCATCCTTGTGACATGCTCGGTTCTGTGAAGGCTGTGGTTGATCATTGGCACACGCTGGCACGTACAGATGTAGTTTGGAAGCAAGTTTGTTTTCGCTTTCATGCTGACGATGGAGGACCGTCTTCGCGCGTACACCGCAGGGGCGGCACAGGACATGGCAGGAAGCATTGCCGCGTCCATTCTTAATCCAAGGCTCGGATGCGGCAGTGGGTGCCACTGACTTGGCCACCACGGTGTCACCGTCTTTTCCGCGCTTGATGAGCTCCGAGAGCGAGCCCAGGAGGACCTCGAAGGCACAAGGAGACCGAATGTTGCAAGGAGTGCTAGGCTGCCAGACTCCAGCTCGTTGTGAAAGCTTTTCCACTCACTCGCACTCGGGCCTCGAAGGTCTCCTTGTCCACCCAAAGCCTCGGCTGCTGTCAACCCGTAGAAGCTCTCCACGAACTGCGAAGTGCCGACGCGAAACGTCCTGGCTCGGTTTGACGTGACCTTGATTGTCGCCCCGCGTGGTTCTCGGTTCTCAAGTGCCTGCACAAGCCAGAGATGGCATGAGCCGATGTTTCGCTGGAAACACAACCTAGCTTAGCTGTGTGATGCTTGTGCAACGTGCCATTTGCCAATCGGACTACCGACGAAACACTTCGCCGTCGAACTACTGTCATGGCAACACATGGAGCCGACATGTAGCCTTCTCTCCGAAGTAGGGCGCTTTCTCGGGAGTGGCTCGCAAGCTGGCAATGTCCTGCTAAGTCACGACAATGGCAGGCATCGTGCGCCATCACTCTTGCGATGCCCAGCCTTGCCGTCTTTCAAGACAACCACGGATCCCTCGACCAGGAGGAAGAATTGCGTGCCTGTTTCCTGAGCTTGTCTGTCTTCGAGAAGGCTCTCAGACCGAGGCTTCTACACTTCTGGACCCCTCGAAAAGGGCTGCAAGGTTGAAAGTTTAATTTTTCATGTGCAGAGCTGAGTGGCCCCTTGCTCGAAGATGGTCTCGTCCTTGCTGAAGGTCATTTCATGCATGGCTGCTGCCAGCTCCTTCTTCTCGGTATCCTTCAGTGCCTGTGAGAACCTCAGCTTTGGTGGACAGGGCAGCTCGTGGACGAACGGATTCGACGAAATCCGGGAGCAGCTTTGCAGCCAGACGTGCATTGCTGCCGCTGGCAATCTGGGCGTCAAGTTTCGCAGTCCGACGTGCGTTGCTGTTGCTGTCAATCTGACAGTGAGGCTTGTTGAGGCTGACTGTCCTCGGTACATGTAGCGATGCTGGGAGCCTGTTTGCAGTGGTGCCTTTGCTGTGCATTTCGTCGGGACCTGCATGTGCGCATCTTGTTGACGCCGGTGTTTCGGCGCTCCTTTAGGGTATACGTCCTGTCGTGAATCGACATCCCAAGCAAAAGCCGGAGTAAGTAAGGTCAAGTGTTTCGCGAAGGGGAGCGAACACTCAGTTTGCGGGCAATAATGTCACTGCCCAGACCGCAGTATGACTAGTAGTGCCAATCATGTTCGCACTTGCATTTTGTAAACTAGCTCCAGGTCTGTCACAGAGGCTCTCTAGCGGCTGAATGCGGGGGTCACAAAGCAGAATGGAACAGAACGCTGTTTAACAGGTTACAGCACCCCACAACATTCAAACACATCGCGATGGAGCCGACAAAGGAGTGCATGGAGCGATGTGCGATGCAAGAGGATTTGCCTCACAGTAGTACAAAGCGAAATGTGATGGTGTGCCATGCCGCGCACACCCGTCGCACTTTGCCTTGCGGTGTGCAACGGCGTGAGGGGCTCTGTATTTTGGCCTGGGTGTGCTGGGAGGCATACCTGATGTCAAGCGTGTCAGGCCATGGAGTGTTGTGTTACATGTCTGATAGCACAATTAGCATATGATATCACACCATCTATGCACTTGATCGCTCTGCTGCGAAACTGTGCTTTCCAGTCTCTTTGTTACTCCGTAATTGTTGTCTTGCTATGACCGTGGCTTCTGATGGGTCCAGCATGTGTATTCGTTGTTTGAGGAATGTGCAGTGGGCAGTCAGCAAACCTAAACTGAGTGTGGAGGGCGGGGCCCATTGGTGGGTTGGCAAGTCAAGGTGGTGTTGAGTGTTTCGTGGCGTGTGCCTGGATTCTTATTGAGTTTGTAATTGCAACCTTCAATGCTCTGACCTACATGTCAATTCCTGGGCAGCCTGTGCATACCAGGACCCCTTTTATCTGGTGTTGTTGGAATTCTTGACCTTGCTAATGCTATGCAGGTCGTGAAGGAACGACATTGACATGACACTGCAAAGGAACCGCAACATTCATCACTTAGTCAACATTCATTGAACAATGGCATCGCCGCCCCTCAGAGGCACAGCTGCTAGTGCGGCAGCGTGCAGCTACCATGCAACGAAGCTCTCGATGCTGAGCAGCTCAACATCTCGCCATGCCGAATCAGCAATGCGTGATACGTCAGCCAAGCAGCACCTCGCAACGGCCCACATAGTCCAAGTTCTGCTTGGTTTCGGCCTCGTTCGCGCGCAGAAGAATTTCCTTAGCCATGTGCAGATGTGTGAAAGCACCTCGGGACAGTGGTACGCAAATGTCTAGTCAAGAATGTCAACAAAGCTTCTTTGAACTGTTGGCGTGCCGTCACGAAAACCTCGGAGTCGACGTTCGCCGTGATTGTTGCAGCCTTGAGTGCTCAATCTGTTTTTAGCCTATAGTTTATGAAAAGGAGGAGGGGCGCTCGAAAAGTGACACTATCAAAGTCCAGCTGCCCGGGGCGCGAAGTAGAGCAAAGCAAGCTCACCGAAGCTGCCTCCGGCCTGTTTCGGAAACCAACTGTGCCATACTAGCTACTGCCACATCCACAGGGCGTGCAGCCTTCGATGTGGGGACGCTAGGTCAGTCACTTGTGGATTGGGTTGCCCTCTCTTTCAAGCCACCACATAAGCATCGGTCATGAAGGCCAGAACTGAGATTAGCTTGGCTGGGGATGCTTTCAGGTCGGTCTTTGCAGGGTAGGTGTGTGTGTGTGTGGATTCTCCCGCGAACATACATGAACATACCCCCGGTAGATTCCACGCGCTGTGGCTGTTTGACCCATCGCTGGATCTGCAAGTGCTGGAGAAGACGTCGTTACGTCGAGCCTCCACTGTCCCCAGTTGTGCAGCAGCAGCGGACTCCACACCTGGGCTCGAATTCACATTGGCATCGGAGGCACACGGCGGTGCATCACACTCTGTCTGTGGTTGCAGCCACAGAGCTTTGACCCTCTTTGACGTCCTCCGCCTTGCTGATGGAAAAGCTTCCTGACTTCACGATGTAGAAGTAGTCTGCCTGCAAGAAGCGCTTTAGGGATGCGTTGACGCGTGCTTCCTCGTCGCATGCGAAGGCCTGCAAATCGTTTTGCTTGATGATGGCGGTGCCCTTGGCTACGGGCTCCTTCCACATGACGTCGGACATCGCTTTTATTCGGGCCTGGCGTGCGCAATCAAGGTTAGCGCTGCGTACGTTGGCAAAATACACGCACTGCTGAAATGTGCAGTGCTTTAAGAGCCTCGTCAAGGTTTGCAATCGTGTTGAGGTTGGTGTTGTCCTGCAGCGCCTTCTTGATGAGCCTGGATGCTGCCGCGACTGCAGCCGCTAACTGGATTCCTGTTAACTTCTTGGGTTCCTCTGAACGTATACTGAGCGTACTGTCTGGTCCAGGAAGCTCAACGTCATCAGTGGACTTCTGGCTCGGCGGTTTGATCTCGGCCTGCCCGGACGGGATGCAAGGGGTTTCGTGCCATTGGTGCAAAACGAGTCAGTGGCAGGGACCGCTGCGCAAAATTTGGCCCAAGCGTTTTGCAAAGGGGCTGTCCGAGCTTTCGCCAGGCCGGGCCTGGACCGCGACTCCGCCACCAACGGCGCCGCGCTTGGGGAACTCCAACTTGTCCTGCAAGCCTAGACCTCGGGAGGGAGGCCCTTCGATCGTGCAAGTCCCGACTTGTGACGACCCGAAGTGCTTAGCGAGGAAACACAGGTGACACTGACGACGATGCCGAGGAAAACAGCAGTGCGGACGTGAGCAAGAAACAAGCCGGCACAAACAGCCCGCACAGAGGAATCGGCAGGCAAAGCATCAAGTCTGCCCCGAAGCCAGCACTTAACCACACGGTGCTGATGGCATCATGCAGACTGTAGTTTTTGCTCGCCCCTGCTTGGCAGCACGCTGGTGCCTCAGTCATTCCTGAATGCAGACTTTGGTTCCCAGATCAGTTTTATTGAGTATCCAAATCCACGTGCTACAAGTACTGCTTGAGACGTACAGCTGACATGTCCAGTTTATTCTAAAGAATAGGCCGGTGTCCGAACACCTCGGGCCTTGGCCTTGGACTCCTGCGAAAAAGGCCATAAGCATCGGGCGCAAGAATGCTCAAGATTGCTCAAGCCAAGGCACTGGAAAACGTTTGCCTCGTGATTTTCAGAGTGACCACCTGCCACATGGGAGCGACATTGAGCATGAGAGGCCCGAAGCTGCAGGCATCTGTGCTCCGGTGAAGCTGAGGCCTGGGAGTTGGCCTTGATGGTCGCGTTGCGCGGCTCGTTCCGCAAGAGCGCGTTCTCGCCGAAGTAATCGCCGGCTTTCAACCCAGCGACCTGCAAAGAAGCCCAGCTGTCAGAGTGCGAGAGACGCGCAGACTCAGGTCACAGGCAGCATTCCTGAAAGTTTGGGCATAGTGGTGGCCCCATGTTTTTTAGTTGTACAGTTCCTGCATGGCTGGGCTTGGGGCCGCGGTTTTCAGGTTTCAGTTGTGCCCGCGATTCCAGCTGAAGTCGTGGAAGGGCTCACTGCTCGTGGTGACATATACAAACAACACAGCACCTTCTTTCCGTTGATCTCCACATCAGCCGTGCCCTTCCTCGAATGCGGTTGCAGCTCAGGCAAATACTACACGAGACCATTGTAACTCTAGCATTTATCACGTGAGCAGCGAAACCGGTCGAATCGTAGAAGTTGGCGAGAGGCTTGATCATGAAGAACTCATTGCCCTCCTCGCCCTGCTTGATGATGCTCTGACCGGGCTTGAACTCCACTTCCGTCGCCGACTTCGCGAGGGCCGGAAGCTCGTCCTGCACATCCATGGTACAAGTCTCCCGGAACATCTGGCATGCGAGGAGAAGGTGAACGTCGCTAGGACATGCCTGGGGCAACCGCTTCAGCAGCTTCACTTTGCAAAGGAACCTCAAATGACACACCAGACAAAATTTTCAGACAGAGGGACTGCAATACCTCCAACCGAACTGAGCAGAACCAGAATCAAGCGGCATGTAGGTTTGTTCATCGACGTTTGCCTTCGACTCCCTGCCAGCACTTCCACCTTCGGTACTCTGGTTGCAGCCCATGGCAAATCCTCGGTGATATCAAGAACCCCTTCGCGTGTCGTGCGGCATTGCACCTTGCAATATGAGCGTGTCAAAAGGACGCTTGCCGCCAAATGCTACCAAGCGTCACAGCGTGAAAATTAGCAGTCGGGTTGGTTCACTTCTTCGCTACTTCGAGCAGTCAGGAACTCTGACAGGCCGGCGATGCAAAATATTCCGACATGTGCGAGCACAAGAGTCACAAAACCGACCTAGGAAGTTCCTCAGTTCATCTAAACATCAGGAATGCTACTCCTTTGCATGCTCACCGGCTCAGCCTACGTGGAGCGACTGCCACTGAGACTTCTGCTTGTCCATCAAGCCCCGAATTACCTGAACAGCAAGTCTCAAGCACTCCTGGCTACGTGCCGCCGGTGAAAGAGGTTCATGGTACCGCCATGCAGATGAAGCAGACAGCAACTACTTAGAACATGCCTGCTCATGAACTTGGCCAGACCGGGCATAAGCACCTTGCAAAAAAGACGTGGCAGGTCAGTTCACCAACGACAAGTGGCATCGACAGCGCTCGTGCTCACACTCTCGAAGCCAAGCTGCAGAAAAGCATGGCGACGCTTTGGTCGTCTGCCTCGCATTTCTCGCGCTCTTGCGCTTCTCGAGAGAGACATCGGGAGAACGACAGCTTCAGCGGCGGGCCATGCCCAGGGTGGCCAGCACCTGGCATCGGAAAAAGAATCACCACGAAGCAACGCAAAACTTATGTGCAAGTTGGGAGAAGCCTTGCAGCTTGGAGTGCCAGTACCATGCACTGCAGTAGGCACAACGGATGAAGCCCGAAATCGTCCCCTAAGTCAATGCATACCCAAGCAGAATGAATGAGCCAATGCAAAGCTAGCCCTTGCAGCTGGTTCGGTCTGGCCGGCGGAACGGGCATGTAGAGAAAAACAAGGTAGAACGATCCGAAGCCGTGCATCTGGGCCCCCATAAGCTCTCGGCTTAAACCTCATCCATGCTGGTTCTCACACAACATCCTGGATAAAAGGAGTTGTGAGATGTCAATGTGGAGTCCGATGAGAAATACCTCCGACACAGCTGCGCTGCAACCACTGGGTGGAATGGCTGCAGTATAGGGAAGCATGATTTTTGACACTCACAACTCGACAACCCAGGCGATGACGTTTTTGAATTACACAGGCTTGACCTACAGCCTTGCCACAGCACATGCATCAGGTTGAACGCTCCCGGCTTTCGACAAGACTTGGCGATTATGAACTCTGATATCCCTTACGGGGGCAGTGTTCTTGCCGACGCATCAATGCTGCTTGTCTCTGTAAATCTTGCCACTATGGTCATTCTATGTCATGCTGGACGTCCTTGACTGTCCCGGTGTCTTCGCACCCGATTGTGAGCGATAAAGGGAACTGTGACCGGAACCCATTCACGGACTGAGCCTTCCATCAATGTTAACAAATCACTCATACTTGTACCACCTTGTACCACTACCGCCCTATCACCCCGTAGAAAATGTTGGGGTCTCAGGGCCCACAGAGCAAGCCAGCACAAGGTTGTTGTCGGCCTGCGGAGCCAGGCTTTGGAACATCTTCCCGTGGTTGGTGGACAGCATGCTGAAGGCATGCATTGAGACCCTGCAGCCGGAAGCGTGACTAAAGGTTCGCCTCGTTTTGGAGACGGGCTTTTTAGGCGCGAGCGCGAGCTGGCGGCTGCGGAACTCCGACGCGCGCTCTTCGACGGCCTGCGAAGTGCTCCGACGGAGCTTCGCAGGAGGTCTTTTTTCTGACGCAGACCAGGGTAGAAACCTCCGCTAAGCAGAAGAGAGCTTTCCGATTTTCCGAGGCCTCAGCTGCCACAGGCGAACCGCGGAACACCAGAAACCATGCGAATCATCTGAAAGAGCGGGACAATCCCGAGCTTCACCAAGGCGTGAAGAGATTGGGACAACCTCAAGGCATTGGGCGTGTTCCTGCTGCCGTCCAGTAGACACCGTGCGTCTGTCGTCGGACTACCAGTGCCAAGCGGCTCCATGGGAACCAAATCCCGTGCCCGGCTTGGGATTTGCAAGGCCTGCCATGAATCAACGAAAATCAAGCACGGAACTAGACTCGAAAAGCACATTGGCCAGGAGACCAGCTGTCCAAGCACTTCTGCATCCTTTAGCCTGCCCCATCTGAGCTCTTAGAGAAGAAAAGGATGCGACAGTGCAAGCGAATAAGCAGCCCACTGCAGTTTTGCATATGCGTTCAGCCTGGGCATTCTGCGGGTGTGAGTACTTCCGCCTACTGCACGCCAACTTCTCGCGGCCGCTGGGGTCAGAACAGGTTTGCAACATGTTGTGCCTTGAAGCTTGACAGATTCCGACCTTGCCGTGCGCAACAGTAGCACATGGTGTTCATTTTTATAGTGGCTTTGGCATGCTGAAAGAAGTATTTGAGCTCGCATCCTTGGCAATAAGCTGCTGGCCAATTGCACTGCCCAATGCTGCGAAGAGGCTCTCATCACGAAATGCCACCTGCACAGACCAGGAGCAATAGCATAAGCGTCAGTAAGCGTCGGCGTGGCCGTACGGCCGTATTGCCGGGTTGGAATCCAGCTGAAGCACCTTCGCCCAGGCATTAGCCACGGCTGCAGTTCCTGCGGACTTGACGCTCTAAATCTTGCTGCGTGCCTCCATAGAAACGTCCCTGCCTTGTGGAGTGAGCTCTACTACCTTCTCCACAGTCCAGCCTTTCACCAAGACTGACCCAGTCGCAAGATCGCCAAGTTCAGCGAGTTGAGCTGCTGACTGCTGAGCTTTTGAAAGAGAGGTCCGTCTGCGATCTGGAGCGGCGGCACTCTTCCGTCGTCCAGACTGTTTTTGACTATGCCGTCTGGGCTCCCGGTAAGGCACTGTATAGCATGAAGTCACGGCATCTTTTGCTCTTTCTCCAGTGGGTCTAAGGCGGTAAAGCACAGGCGCACGAGAGCCTTCAGGTCTGCGCGCCAATGCCTGCATGAGCCGACTCGACGCTGTTCTGCACACGAGCACGATTGCAACAGAACAATCGCTCCGCTTGTTGATCCCAATCCATGGATGAACGACATACCCGACATAATGCAATGGGATGTGCCTACGTAGAAGCCAAGAAACCTAACAAGCTTTGCCACTTGCAGGGCAACAGCCAATCTCATGCATCCTGTCCTATCTCATGCATCCAGGCGTCAATGCCATGTGTTGAGAGTGGCAACCGCCAGCAGTCTGACCTCTCTGCATCGATCCTCCACGCCCTTCTTGCAGCCCGCCTATCCATACTATGGGCACTCTACAATGCTTCCAAAACAGCGTGAAACATGAAGATCCATGCCTGAATCTCCTTTTTGAAAGGACTTAGGTGGCCGAAAGCCTGGCGCTCGCAGCTCTGATGCTGACGGGCTAAGAGCATCTTCTGGTCTGCCGCTCCTGCTGGATCAAGGCCATCAGGACCTGAAAGCAGCCGAGCCGTACCTGCATGGAGGAGCTGTGCCAGGGTGATGCAAACGAGGATTTCAGAGCTGAGCTGCCAAAGGCTTGCAGTGAGCGCCGCAAAGCTCACACAGCGGACCGACCTCAGCTTCGTGCTGAGGGGCTTGATGAGGAGCTGAGAAGCTGCATGTTGCAGTATCGCTGCCGCCATGCGCCTCCGTTGAAGTACTACGACTCCCCCAGCATGGACTCCGTGCTGTAGCGACCAAACCATAATGTACCAAATCTAGACAGGCGCGACTCACCTGAGGACCTAGCTTGCTGATGGGATGGGTTGTTTGTGTGAGGAACAAATGCTTCGAATTGCTATGGGAATTCTCAGCACCACCACTGTCAACATCGGCGACCAACCAACACCAAGCAATCGGCCAAGCCATTGTAAGCCGCACACTATGGAGTGGAGCTCGTCCTCCACCCAGGATTCTTTCCGCTGGATGGCACGCACCAGAAGCTGCCTGGGAGCTGCGAGGTCCCTATCCTGTTCTCAGCAATTCGATTTGTGCTGTGCCGAGAGGCAAGACCTGAACTGCAAAGATGGCAGCCTGGACAGGAGCTTCTGCTTCGTCGCTGAGATGTCATGCGATGCTGCACGCTCCTGCTCGGCATTCGCAGCTGCTGCACTTTCTTTCAAGCGCTTCAGCCCAGTGAGTGTGCCTAGGCAAAACGCATCGTGTGGTTCGAAAGCGCATGTTCGCAAGTCGTGCTCGCCTGCTGCTCTCACACATCTTTGTTCCAATTTGCTTTGGCCATCTAATGCCTGAGCCTGAGACACCACCGCAGTTCGTCACCTCGGATGTCAGGTCAACGTCTGCAGTAAGTCAACCTCTTGTGTGTCACAACTGACCACAATACCATTCGAGCCAAAGTTTCTGCAATCAGCGCAGGCAACCTGGCATCACAAAGTCAGTCAGTATGTAGCCAAGGCTGAAGCATTGGCAACAGCGGCCTCCACAGACAGCGATGCCAGCAGAGCCACAGCGCTCTCCAATGCTGCTAGCCGAGTCCATGCAGTCCCGCCCAAGGCCTCAGTGTCACAGACCTTCATGCCCGTTCTGCGGAGGCTTACGACGGTGTAGTTAGGGCTCTCCGGCATTGAGGTGCTATTTGGACCTCGAGGGCCCTCCAGGCTGGGCGGACCCTCTGCAGGGAACTCTCGAGGGTTGATGAGGGTTGTAGCTTCCGGGGTGGGCTGCTCGCATGCCGCGAGGCCGCAATCTGCGCCGTTCCGTCATCGGCCCAAAACATCCAAAACCCCACCAGGCCCGACCCGAAGTCATGCAAATGATCTGCAGATGTCTCGGCCCGCATCTTTCTGGCTGGTACTTTGACTCTCCGCTCTACTTGGACTTAGACTAAGATCCTGGCCTTCGCTCGAGACACCAAAGATGGCAGAACTGTTCGCGAGAGCCTCATGCTAAGTCATCGATACTGCTGCCAGCTGAAATGAGGATCGCCACACGTTCATCTGAGCAGCTGCTGTAGGGCGATCGGTGGAAGTGCATCCTGAGAGCAAGCACTGGCACAGCCGATGCCTTTGATGTTACACCGTGGCACGTCGCCAGCTCATCTTTACCACACTTGAAGTAGATGTTTAGCCAAGGCACTCTCCCTTGCTTGGACGAGTCCACCTCCGACTTTGCTGCAGTCAGTGCATGCAGCCAGCAACTAAGCCCCTTGTAGGCCTTCACCGGTGCCAGCACCCGAAACGCTTCTGGAACGTATGGCCCGACAGGTGCTTCTTCGTCCAAAGCCAGCAGCAAAGCTTCCAAGAAGCTACCTGCCTCCGAGCACAGAGCAAAAAAACTCCGGGCCAGCTCTCGCTCTGCTCATCTCTGCTCTCGCGCCTGTTCAGAACAACTGCCCCGCCGCCGCAGCAGCGCCTAGAGACTTCCAGAGCCCGCGAGGAGTGCTCTGCATTGCTGTCCGGCATCCGAGGCGCAGCAGTGGCCGAGGCCCAGCATGTTGCGGCCCCTCGGCTGGCACGATCGCCCGCCGAGCTCTGCCCTCGTCGAGGAGAGTTCGACTCGTTCATGGTTTCAGCTTGTGTCTTCGTCACTAGCACCCTCATTCCCTCAATTGAGACATACCTAGAACCTGCCTCGTGTTTTCGTCAGACCCGAAATCTTCTCTAGTGGCATAACGGCATAACAGTTCTGGAGAGCTCTTGCTAACGGATCCAGGCATGTTCTGGTGGGTTTCTGGCAAGATCACGACACAGCCTGCAACGGAAAGCGATTCGGAACGGCAGTACCCAAACATAAAATCGGCTTCAGGGGCAGCAATGACCCGGGCCTCGGCCTCTGAGCAGCTGCCCGAAAGTGTCTCGGAAATTCCTCGGTTCACTGCCCTGAGCGGCACTCAGCAGAATGGCCCTTGCGCTGCACTTCGCGGTCTGAGTCTCTGCAGCAGGGCCGACACCTCGACACGCTTCACTGCATCGCCGACCACATTAGCTGATGGCTGAACTGTCGAACCGCTTTGCGAACTCGTCTTTGGCTTGGCCTCTTCGTCCGGGCAGGACTCGACCAAGGACTCCAAAGCCTCTCGGCAGACTCTTCACCACATCAAGACTGCAGCCTGTCCCGGTTTAGCCTACAAGGCTCGAAACTGTCCGCAAGCAGTCCTGCAGTGCGAGGACTTCAGCAGCCTGCGAATTTACAAGGTCGGGGTCGGCCCCAGATGCACAACGGCACACCTCAGCCAGGAGCGTAGACAAGTGCAAAGAGTATGATGTGGTAAGAGCTCAAGCCAAGTGGATTTGCCAAGACACAGCCGGCATCGTCTTGCGACAGAAGCTCCAACTGGCTTCTGCGGCTTGTGGCAGCACGCCAGGCACCAATCTCAGAGGAGGTCTGTGCCCATGCCAAAACGGAATTTGCAGATTGCAGACAGTAATTTGGCAGTGGGCGATTCAGCAGCTGGCAGCCCTTGCATCCCGAACGAATGACGGAAGCTTTGTGAATTCAGCCGAGCTGCGCGATGCAGTTGGACAAAACATTACAAGAGCTCAGCGCCACAGACTCTAGCACTCGCCGCTGGACAGCGCTAGCCTCGGCATGTCTGCGCTATACTTCGGCTAATTCAGGTGGCGACACTCTGCTCCAGGCCTGCTGCTCTGGCAAGTGGCGGCAAAGCACGCGCATGAAGCGACGAGAAGCCTTCACAACAAAACATGCATTGAGAAAACCCTTCCTCTGCAGTACATGCTGACCCTTGTTGAGAATTCGTCCGACTACTGATTGATTAATTACCATTCTCGGAGTGCATCCAGTGGTTATTTAGTCCTGTCGGTGTCGAGAGTGAAAGTGTACCGCCTTTGCGGTGATCTGTACCATCAGCCAAGAGTCAAAGCTACAATAGATGATAGACTAGCCACAAGTTGAGTGGATCATCGCCTTCGGACTTCGAAGAAAGCGTGCAGGGTATCGCAATGACTCGTGCTAAGCTCCGCGGTTTGTGATGCACCTCTGCTCGGCTCAGGACGATGTCCACGGCGGGTAAAGTTCCTGTTGCCAATTGAGGGTGCACAATCGTCATTTTATTGCCCAACCAGCTCATTGAGACTTAGTCATGGTCGAACTGAGAAAACAACAGATCGGCCTCCTTCTAAATCTGTTGAGAGGCCCTCCACGAGCTCTGGGAGGGTGTCAGGCAATCCCTTGGCTGATGCACGCGCACACACAAATCTTGAGCATTCCACGCGGCAGTGCAAACCAATGCTGGCGACATCGTGCAACGAAGAAAAGCTTGTGGCTGCCTCTGTGCTTGTGCACGCAAGGGGCGAGGGCTTTTGCCAGCTGCCCCGATGCCCAGCTGAAATCACCAGGGCCGTCAAGCGCATCTGCAAAGGCACCCAACACCTTCCAGCTTCGTAAGCATCAGAACCTAGTTCGGCTGACTTGCAGCCGCTGCGCCTCGAAGTGGCCACTTCCGTGCTGCTTGAAAATGGTGGCTGCGCCTCGGCCAAAGCCACCACTTATAACGCTTATAACTTGCTGGGGCTCAGTGGGGAAAGAAGGAATGAGGTAGCTGCTTCCGCGTTATGAAGGATGTTTGTAAACTATGGGCTACTGCAGGCAGGGGAAAGAGGAGTTGGTTTGAAAACAACAGCGGGTTGCGCACGTGTGGTACTTCAGAAACCAGTGCAATTTTCCCAACGAAACACAACGAAACGACAGCCCGACTTGATTGGGAAATCGTTTTCGGAAGATGATATGTGTGTTTGGAAAGCTGTGAAACCAACGAAGTAGATCTG